GAGTCTCCATCCCTAGAGGTGTTTAAGTCTCGGCTTGACAAAGCCCTGGCCAGGTTGATTTAGTTGGGATTGGTACTGCCTAGAACAGGGGGCTGGACTTGATGACCTTCTGAGGTCTCTTCCAGCTCTATGATTCTATGATTCTATGATTCCCAAACTGCCAGCCCATGCTCTACTACTTCCAAGCATCTCCTCCAGTCTCCTAGGGGGAGCTGTCTGAGCTTCAGCCCCACTGAGGCGTGGGGCCATGCTGCTAGCCCCCCTAGGGCTGGGAAGGCTGGGGCCAGCTGCCACCTGCACTCCAGGACCAGAGGGTCTGCCCACAGCTCCGTCCAGGACTGGGGGAAGGCTGGGTCTGCGCACTACCTATTGGGGAAGGGGTAGCCTGCCCTGACATTGGAGGGGTGCACTTGGCTTCCACAGGATCTTGGATGGCAGGGGAGGGGCCTTAAATGGCTGGGGTGAGGCTGGGGGTTGCCTCCCCCAGTCCTAGGTTCACCCACCATGCCTGGTGGGAAGTGAAGGTATACAGCACCTACCAAAATCAGGCCATAATGTGCTGGTCTTTAAAAAAACCACACACACACTTATGAATCATTCTCTCTTCAACAGTGCATTACTGTTTATGGCTTCATATACTCTTCTGTGTATGATCAACCATTTGAATAAACTATAATTTGGATGTGCATCTGGAATACATATGCATAATTTTTCAGTTATGTTCCAATTTAAAAAGAAGCCCCCAAAATCCTTAACACATACTCTCTCTCTTTCTCTCCATGCAGTAGTGACTAAAGATTTCAATCCTGAGCCAATTTAAAAATAAGCACAAAAAGCCACATTAAAAAAACACCCACCCACACGTACTCACACCCATGTAGTAATGACTAAAGGTTTCAGTCATGATCCAGCTTAAAAATAAACAATAAAGTCTTAAATTAATATGTGCACGTGCATTCCCCCCCGCCCACAGTAATGACTACACTGGGAGACAGGAAACCTCCCTTTGCATTGGCTTTTTTCTCACTATGAAGAATAATTTTAATTACAAGTACTTGGCAGGAAGCCAATTTTAATTACTATAAGTCCCCCTCCCCATGACATCTGTCTAAGCATTTTTAAACTTCCTGCTCAAAGTAGCATTCTTCATTTTACAGAGAAGCACCTAGTTACAGCAGAAAAGAAAAAGGAGTAGTAAGTGATTTATTAATTTTTCATACTTATGCTTATCAGGTATATCAAATGGATCATTATTCTGAGGGCTGATAGTACAGAAAGCAAATTTAAATGGGAAATTCTGACACAAATAGTAATGAAAGGAAAGAATTCACCTATAAAAATAATAGTTATAATTTAAACCAAAATAACTCAAATGCCCAGAACTCCAACCCCCTGACTGATTTTGCAGGGGTTCATCTTGTCTTTTAGCTATGTGATTTTTTTTGACAAGTAAAGGAGCAGTTCCTGGGGAAAAGGGACAAAGTCAGAAATATGTTGAAGACAAAATATTATGAAGACTCACAAACAATGGGCCAAATTTTGCTTTCATTTGATCTCGTTTAAATCTGAAATTACTCCATTGGTGTCAGAGGCACTACTCTGGACTTATATCAGTGCAAACGAGGGCAGAATTTGGTTCACTGTTTTGTACTCCAGTATAACACTATTTCCCTGTTTCAGTACAACCACCTGGAACTGGGCTTGTGTTGTGTTAACAGGGAGCCTATTTCAAAATCACAATTCCCATAACAGAACTGACAGAGAAAACCAGTACCCATTCCCCGATTCTCAATCTGCACAAGAGAGAAGAGCGTGACCTTCAGACTGACAATTGTCTCCAATGGGTGTGTAAAGTACAGGATCCTGGAAGGTGGAGAAGAGATGGCCTGACAGAAACTGGGGAGTCTCGGCAGAGGAAGTCTATGAGAGAGGGGAGAGACTGCAGGTGCCAAGAGGAAGGGGTGAGTGACATCAGTGAGAAGAGGATAGCTCTGACACAGAATAACCTTAGAAGGACAAATGTAGATGGGGATCCAGGAATGACAAAGAGAAGCAAGGACACTAGGGGTAAAGAGATGGGAAACCCGGAGGAAGATGTAAGAAGGAGACTTCGGAAGATTAAAGCAAGGGAAACTGAGGAAAGAGGTGTTGGGAGAAGTGCATATGGTGGAACAATGGAACAGATAGAATCAATGAAGAAGACTACAGGAAAAAAAATAAACCATCAAATTGTCTCTTTCAGCAATAACCTCTCCCTATTCTGTCTCAATTCACCAGAACTATCTCATGTTTATGTTCCTGGTAAGGCAGCCTCCCAGCAGTCTCTGTTCAAACACTCACCAAGGACACCCAGAAGTGGGAACTACTAGCATAGTTGTTGGGGACTTCACAAAGTAAGGTGGGGCATAGAAGTCAGCCCCGACTACAAGAAGTAGAAGGAGGTGTTCTTTTGGGGTGGAGCCTTGATCTCTTTCTGTAAAAGGAGGGCTTCTAAAATCTTATCACTGTCTGTGTCAGCACTCAAGATGACCAGT